AGATCAGTGTTATATGTGAAGAATGATATATATATATATATATCCCGTTCTTGTTTTCACATTTTCATTCATCGTCTTTCCCCGATAAAAACATGAAAACCTCATGAATATCTCTATTGCGTTTTTTCTCGTTTCTATTTTCGATTAAAAATAAACTATTGCATGAATCCATCGTCGCGCGATCTAATGCAGAAGTTAATAAATAATTTCGCGGCGAGTAAATGGAGAAACTGCTATAGTTCAAGGGACATCCTTGCAGCACGCCTGCGCTGGTCTTTCACGTGCATTCTATACTCTCGCTTCTATATGCCCGTCTTGTGCGGAACGAAAGTAACGAGAAGTTACATGGCAGTAGAGTTTGAACGGGCGAGCCGCGTGGAGTATCGCGCTGCGTATCTCTATGCCTCGTAAACATATTGAAGATGCTACTTTCGCTTTCGCACAACTCGTTTCGCGATGTGTGAATAATTATTAACATTTATGTATCGTGTTTGTGCCTCACTTTATCGCGATGTGTTTTTTACGATAAAATTAAGAGTGCTGCTGTCAATTTCCCCCCTTCGAAGTGTGCGATTGATTGTAATTGTATGATGGTTTACGTTTGCTCGTGTTAAATCGAACTTTCGCTCTCGAACAAAAACCAACTTGTTGATTTACGTGTACAAATACAAATAGAATTAATTAATTTTCAGCAGCATGCGCGTGAAAAACTCGTTACTTAATTACATTGTCATTAATTTCGTTGGACTTTATCTGTCTTTTTTCTCCCTTTCACTCCATTCTCTCACTGTCTTCTCTTTATTTATCATGTGTTCTCTTTATTTAATTGAAATTTATTTTTGTTTAGTATATTTTAATTTCTGTGTTGTAGTTTTGCACTATTCAAATTTAATTTATCGAATAATTGGGTAAAAAATTACTAAATCCTAAATTACATATATAATTTAATCATTGAAGCAAATTATTTCACCCGCTAACGGCAGATTCTTGAGGTCATTTGAAGATGAAAATGTCGAGACCGCAATAGCTTTTAAATAGGAAATATTTGACCATGCGACAATCTGATTGTCAAAAATTCGCGCGCTGTCAGGAATATCGCACATCGAAGATGCCCTCAGACATCGTTAATTATTGATTGACAGACTCAGACGTTAATTATTGATATTGAAATAATTTATCTACTATTATTAAAATGACTTAAATTTATTTTTGTTCTATGCGGTTAATAATTTCGACAAATATTGTGGTAATAATAGCTTGAACGTTTTTTTTTCTCTTGGAATATTGACATTAGAACGGGATGCGCATCAAACTGTCAAAGCCTTCACATGAAGCGTGTCATAGACGAATTCAAGCATTTTCAATGTACAACATGCCTGAGCGCGCGAATTTTTAACAATTTGGTTGGTGAACTTTAAACACTTCCCATTTAAAAATTATTGCAGGCTCAACATTTTAGTATTTCAGATTTTTGTCTCCGAATGATTTTAGAAATTTGCCATAAACGGGTGATACGTCTTGCAACAAATTTTTCGAATTGCTTGTCGTGTTGATATTTGCAATCGATCAGGAACCGAAAAGGTTAAAGTCATGTGTAAATTACACTAGATGCAACTTAATGGCACATAAGTACTTTGTGTTTTCTTAGAACTTTCGAGGTATTTTATAGCACCGATATGAATACAGCGATCGATTGTAGTACATTCTACAAAAATAAACGTCGAATGTATACATATTTTCGATGTCTCTTCGGGAAAATGCAGTTGGTCTATTAAACCATTTGCAATTTTACTTAGTGTGACTTCGAGTAACTTAAACTTTTATAATCTTTTGTGTACTCTTTATCGTTAAATAGTTTTTCCGTTAACAGAGTTCTCTCTCGAAGGCCGTATAAATGTTTGTACTTGCTTCAACTGCTTTATATTTCAATTTTAATTCACATTAGAAAAGTATTCGTAATTTTTTTAAAAAGGTAGAAAAAAAATTAAAAATAACAAAGAAGAATAATTAAGAAGAAATTAAAGAGCACTAATATTTAAATTCTAAATAGCACAATTAGAAATATATTTTATATTAATTTTACTAATCGCAATCAATTTTTAGTTTGCCCGAAGATCGATAATTTTATTTAATACAATCGAATATTGATTCAGAACCAATAATCAGTAACAAAGAATATTGGACAAAATCGATTATTATCCTTCTTAAATCTATTAAAAAGTGTTTACAATTATGAACTAAATAATGTGCGAAAATATATTTGTGTGATAGTTTGATGATTTACATCTTATTGGAAACATCATTCGCTGTGAATTACGTCATTGATATAAGACTGTAAGATTGTGCGGGAGTATTTCGAAATAAAAAACCTCAATAACATCGCGTTATATTATGCACACGTGAATCGTCAATCTAAAAGTGTTACATGATTGGACTTTGGTCATTTAAACCACGTCGAAGCGGCAAAGTGGAGGTGATGTTAGGTGAGTGCTATGTACGCTTTCGAAAAAAGATTTCGATTCTAATTTCAAACTTCGGACACTCGAACGAATTTAGATTATTGAAGTCCGAAATTTACGTATCGGACTGCGAAATCGTTAAATGTGCGATCGTTTAGAACTGCATTTCTCGAATCGCGGATGACACGAAGTGCAATAATGACTCGATTACAAATTTCTTGCGATTGGAGTTGCGCGCTTACGGCGGCTTTAGCGTTCAGAGCCTTCTTTTTTTTTTTTTTTTTTATTATATAATTAAGCGGATTGCCACCGCGCGCGAAAAGTGCGGAAACGGCAAAAGTTTGCAAAAGCATGAAGGAAACGTGATGAAAAAGCGGCGATGACGACGGGTGCAATGACTATGTGGCGCGCTGACCCGAGAAGCCAAGAGTCATTCTCCCTTTCCTTCCTGCGTGAGAAGCCACCCGTGCTTTCGAGCACATGTGTGCGTCGTTGTATGCAGGGAACGCACTGTAATATTGTAATGCGGGAGAAAAAAAAAATGCACGATCGCTATCTAGTCCATCATACTAATTCGACGATTTACCGCGAAGTTTCTCATGCGCGATTATTATATATGCCACGCATCTCTGAATTAACGATCCGCGTTTGTGTGACCAAGCTTCCTCTTCATTTTCCCTTTTTCTGCCCATTGTTCGCTCTTTACATTTCCCGAACTACAACAATTCAATCAATTTTCACGCCCTTTTTATCGCATTTCTTCATTTTTAGTTTATTCCCACGCATCTGTATTCATTAATCTTTTCCTTTTTAATATGTTTCTTAAGTGCTGCCTTTGTGTGAACTCAAAGTACATTGTATCTTTTGCAAAAAAATATCTCGAAAATAAATGTGCGAGGAACTATTGTGAAATTTACGCTGTAATGTTCACGATTTTTATTTTATACGACGGAGTGACGAAGTACAATAATTTCACGGTAACCTTAATTTTTTTCACATGCTCTTCAGCGGCATTTAATTCCTTCCGTCTATAATTTTTATATAAGAAAGAGAAGCCAAGATCTTCCGACAGACACGAAGTCGTGAGAAATTCGAAATTGAAAAACGGATCGGAGACACATGTGTCTACGTGTGTGTGTCGTTGTACAGTTAAAATGCCGAGATAGATGTCTCAATTGTTGCGATTACGCGAAAAAATTGAACGTTACGGAAAGAATTATTACAGCATTTTTTTCTACTTTTTAAAATAAACATTTCTATGTAATTTTTATGTGTACTCTACTTGTTGAATGGTCATCATACTGAATTACAACTTTCATGTTTGTGTCAACAATTTATAATTTACGTAGACAAAGTATAGCGTTGCTCGTTCGACATATTTAAGTAAAATCTTGCGGTATGCGTTTTCGTTACAGGTTCCATTATGTTTCACGTGAGAAGGAGGCCCGCGGATTACATGCCGCGAAAACGGAAAAAGAAACCCGCCGGCAAGTGGAACGAATTGGATCACAGGTATAGTTTGAAGGAAATTTTTATCGTCGCATATTGCTGACGCGTTGTGGCGGCAAATTTGATCCCCCGCGCAAAAGTAAAATCCACAATCCTCTTGCAAAACAATGGCAAACCAGCATTAAAATTGCCTAAGCATCTGCGAGAGATCACGCTCAGACATGAATGTAAGAGCTGAGGAGGAAGATCGATGAGAGCTCGATCGATACATATCAATATTGATTTAATTAAACACCTGGATAATCGAAACTCGAATTAAATCCTTGCAGATACGAGGATGAGAGATTGCCATTCTTGCTGGAGCTTAATTCCGACGGCAGCGATATCCCAAACGGCGCCGGAGTGCGACACCGGTTGCAGCCGAACGTGACGGAAGTGGGATCGGAAAGACCCATAGGACCGCAAGCGGTGCAAGCACAAACGCTGACGCTGCCGGGACCGACAGTGATGCCCAGGCATTGCGTCATAGCCTTCACCGAGAACATCGTCACTCTCACGCCATGTTCCAGAGATGCGCATACATACGTGAATAACCAAAGGATACATCAGACCACCATACTGCAGGTGCGTTTCTATTGTTTTTGCCACCGGAAGTGTGCTCATATATCTCTATCTTATTTTGCATTCGCGCAAGACGCTCCAAAGTCGTGTATTAAAGTGCTGAAAGAATTAAATAATACAAATCTTTACGATTTTTTTATAGTAGCGAAATGTAAGGATTTTAAAGCTGGCCAATCGTAGGCTACATTCAGATCATTGGTGTCTGAATTGTGCGTATAATAGATTAGTGATAATTTATATTTCATGTTAATATTCACCGACGCTAGCAAAAAATTTATATGATGAATATTTACAAAGTGAAGCAACAATAAAGCGAAAAGTGATAGTTGATCTTACATTTTGAGTTATCGAATAACGAAAAGTGACAATAAATTGAATGATTTATGCTTGTAGAATGGAGCTATCGTCAAATTTGGTAGGATGTACACATTTCGATTTATCGATCCGGCACCGGAGGAGCGCATCAGACAGAGACACGACTCTAACAAGCAGATAGACTATGCTTATGATCGGTAAGTTCGAAACTTGTACACATTTCTTCTCTTCTTCATCGTGATCAGGTGAGAATAGATTATGAAGATGCACGAATGTTGTTCATTAGTTGTGCAATTTAACTATTACTCGTGTTTTCACGCATTTTGAATACACTTACAGTGACTCGTTACAATTATGAGACATTCTTATCGCTATTGAAGTTTAGATAGATAGACTACAATTAGTCCGTTAGTGTTTTAATATTAGTTATTTTCTTTTTTATCAATTTCGTTATAATGGAATAAATAACCTTATTTTCCAAAGGTCCACCTTTGGATAAATAACCTTTTTCACAAACTGTGATAAATCTAAAAGTCATTTCTTTTACAAATTAAAAGGCGCAGTGAATTTTTTTGATATTCTACTATAACAAACTGCTAAAATACGATTACTGATAAGAGATAAAAAAAATTTTTTTTTATCTCTTATCTTTGACTAATCAATCTGTGGCTACTTATTGTATTCTATTAATCTTTTCCGGACGGGAGTCTTCTATCGGTGAAAACCTTTGGAAAATAAGATCTTGTGTAAATTACTTTGCTAGAAATCCTCCTGTTCTGAAAGGGTTAAGTTTTTCATACTTTCGACCAAAACCGCATTATCTTATTAGAGAACCAAAGCACATTGTCCTGCGCATTAAGAGATTTGATTTTTCATTTTTGCCACTTCTTGTTTATTGCGCTCCGTTTGCTTTACGTTTGCTTTTCTCGTTGCGATATTCGCTTCGCACGATACGTCACAATAGACGCTCACCGGATGCTACCAGTCAGGATGTTAGCTCGGAGAAATTTCACCCGGGATCGGCAACGTCGAATGGCAGCGGCGGTCAGACACCAGGTCAGACTCAGGAACGAGCGGCCCCGTCGAGCCCTTCCAAGTCCGCCGCTGTCGCAGCCCGTAGTCCTCGTAGTCCCACGCACCCTCCAGAGTCCACGCACAATTACGAGACCACGTTTGATCTGGACGGGAACGTGGAGACCGCCAGTCTGAGCAGCAGCAGAGACGGCAACAGGTAGAGTGATACGTGCGCTGAATCGATGCCAAATTTTACGGCGCTTGACTCCGGCCGAGAAAAAGATAGACACACGTGCTAGGACTGCACTTTTATAGCGAAGAATCCAGACCGCGTAGATTTTCCTTTTTAGAAAGCGTTCGCGACCACGAAGCTTTTATCAGGAGTAATCATAAAAAAAAAGTAGTCTTTCTTTTTTAGTTTTAAGAGGATCCTAAAGTGGTCTGTTTTACCTATTTTTTTCAAATACACTAACTTTTTTTTGGCTGCGTGGCTTGAAAAATCCTTTTAAATCGATCATCCGTAGTGTATTAGCATATATACTTTACTTACAGAAAAACTGTAATTGGATTTACGTGAAATTATTCTTAGCCGATTAAGCCGAATTCTGCAAATTCTCGGAATACACAAATATTATCAAGTGTTCTTCTAGAAAAAAGAATAATGCACCGCAAAGTGAATTGCGTTTGTTCTTCTAGAGATATTAATGTTTCATTCTTTTGAAAAAGAGAGAGATAAAAGATCCGAAGATAATCGGATTCGAGGAAAGACGTTGATCTATGGCGAATTGCTTGCAGACTCTCACAGTACGATCGGCAGGCGTGGGGCGCAGATCCGATCCTGCCGGCCGTCCTGGAGTTCCTCGAAGAGACCGAGGAAGCGTTCCTTCATGCCGTCATCACAGACGTGGAGCCCTCGGCACCGCAGTTCAAGCTGGCGCCGACTTACACTCTTTATCTGAGCGCGAGATATCGCGCCAGCACTCATTACAGGCCGGAATTGCAGCCCACGGAGAGGGCGCATCGGCTCACCCTCATGCTGGCGAATGTCGCCACCATGATTCAGCGCGTTATCCAGGTAGCTCGACACGAATCACCCTTCTTTTTTTTTTTTTTCTTCTCATTTTAAAACGATCTGGCTCGACATTGATTCCACGCTCG